TTAATTTAAAAATCTTAATTTGAGTTTAAGCTCAAAATTTTAAATCTTTATAATATCAAATATTTAATACACTGATATATATATATATATATATATAAACAAAGGGTTTGTCTAGGATAAGAAGTAATTATTAGTCAATAATTATTTTAAAAGATATGAAGTTTTAAATTAAAAAACTAAGTTTTGATTTTAATTTTAAAACAAATGAATAAAAAAATTGATTCATAACATTTGCAATTAAAACAAAAGTCAATATTATTGCTTTTAAGATAAAAAATACAAATAATTATACAATTATTACTTTTTATCTTGTATCTTAAATAAATCCATAAATAAAAAGAAAGGGTTCAGGAGACCTATATATAAAAACAAAGTGAGCGAATTCCTTGTTTGGGCCCTAAAACCGACCACAGCCTTATCTCTTCATTGAGATTTGAGACCATGAAGAAATATTAATTAGGTGCATGGAATCCATGATACATTACCTATTTAATTACTCAAAGCACATGAGCCTGCAATTAACGTTCTAGTGCATATGATATCTCTTCATATTCAATAATGTAAGTATTGCTAAAATTAAATGGGCACTCCACCAAACATGCTCCCTCTATCTTTCTTCAAATGCTAGACATGCAGAATGTAATCTAGTTACTCTATATTTTCATTCATCATGATTAGGTGGCCTTTTTTGTCGTGAAAGAAAGCAAGTGGTGGCTAGCTATGTACCATGCGTATGCTTCAAACTTATTACCTAATTATTTTCTTTAAGAGTTTGTCTAATTTGTATTTTTAAAACACATGTTAACTATGTAATAAACATATATTTTATAATTATTTTATATAAAAAATAATAAAATTTAATTTTTATTTTAATATTATTATCACATAAATAATTTTAATTAATCAATTGATTAATCAAATTAATTTTTACCATTTTTATATAAATTAATTATAAAAGAGTATATTTATTAAACCCTCAACTTATACTTTACAAGTAAGTACATTTTTTTTAATAAGAGATTACACGTCATCCATCAAATATATTTTTTTTTTAGTTTTTGAATTCAAAGTTAATGACATTATAATTGGACTTTCAACCTTAAGTATGTTGGATTGCGTACCCTTAGCCTTGGTCTTAGAAAATTACCCTGGACTTTTTGTCATGGTTTGGGTTGCTAGGGCGATACTTTTAATTGTAAAATTTTCCCTTTGTCTAAATTCTCTATTTTTTTTTTCTTGAGAAAAAAGGTTAATGCCAACCCTTGATCATTGGTTGGCATTGGACCGTCTAAGTAGCATCATGTCTTTGTACAGTTTGAACAGGACTGTCTTCTGTGTACATTATTCAGTGGGGAACCATTTGGTTTTGTTTGCGTAAGTTAAGCATTAATGCGTACAAAAATGAAGGGCAGAACGAAAATAGGGCTTGGGGTAGAGCCAGTGCCCAAGAAATAGCAATTTTTTTACAGTTCAACCATATATTAAAAAATAATAATTATATTGATAATATTAATATTTGCTCTTAAAGGGATGAAGGAGTATCAATCCTAAAACTTGAACGGGTGCCATTACTTTGCTTCTCACACTTGAACCATTTTTCTTAACTCTTCGAGACTCAAATTAAGGTCTATATACCAATTGAGTGGGACAAATTTTTTTGGTACCTGAGCCTTTATTTCTGACTTCTGAGTTAAAAAAGAAGTAGAAAAATGAAAAACGAGGCTCTGATAAAAAAAATCTGGGTATACCATCAAAAAATTTTGACATGAATTTCACCCGATGAAATTATTTTCCTCAGAGGTAATGGGGCAGTACATGGAGGAGGGACCGTTGCTAGGAGAGAAAAGTAGCAGATTTCCTTGAACCAGAAAAGTATCAGATTTCCATTGGGGATACCTTTGTTGACCAAGAAAGCCTCCTATAGGACATCCACAAAAGTCGTGATATTTAATGTTCCTGGTACTATTTAATAGAAAAGTAGCTATCCTATCTGTCTAGTACTTCCACATTCAAGCAGCTGCCATCTCATGCTAACATTATCAGAACAACAGAGGTCCCTCAAGCTAGTAATCACATTCCAATAAGCTAAAAAGGTGGTCCAAATTAAAATGGAACTTTGGAAGCTAAGAACTGGACCCGTTTGCCAGTCCCTAATAATAGATAATGCATGAGATTGAGTAATTTTCAAAGCTAAAACCATGAAGGAAGAAAGTGATATAAAAAAAGAAAATGAGACGAACACGGGTAGATGATTGGGAGATTGAATTTTGTTGTTAGGTTGGCCATCGATGTCTACAAATTTGGCTCTGTCAGCTCTTTCAAGAAAATAACGAGCGTGGTCCCCAAAAGAGTGAGAAGAAATATAAGATGGTTCACAGGCTGTCTTTACCTCCATTGCCGGCTGGTCACAGGCATTTCTTCTCTCTTGTCAACATCATTCATCTGTCTCACAATTCGAAAATCCACATTATCTTCATCCTGTATCAGTTTCACGGGATAGAATTAATTTTTGTGATGAAGAGGCTACTAATTTTAACAAATACTTACCATGGTAATAACAATGCCTTGCTGCATTAATAGACCGCAAGTTCTGAATCTCTGATGATTCAGAATGAAGATGTCAGCAATGAACATTCAGCTGCAGTAAATAGGAAATATGTCAGACCAACCATAATACAGAGTATGAAGAGATGTGGTCTACCTATCGTCTTACTTGTGTCTTTTTAGAGGTGTTTGCAAGGAAGAAAACTTGCATTTCATTTTTTGACATTTCAGATTTAACTGGTATATTCAAAACCTCACCATGCTTCCCCAATCTGTTGCTTTCAAGTTTCACCATTGAAGACATCGTAAGAAATTAAGAATCATAACACATTCCATAAATGGCTCAATGTTCAGAACTGAATAATTTTTTAGAGGCTACTTCATTTTCAATGCAACAGGTTTTGGACCTTGAACATACCTTATGCTTTAATACCACTGCTTGGGCAGTTTTCAGTGGAAGAAACATTTATTCTTTCCACCAAACCTTATTCCTCACAGCGGCTTTTCTTCTATGTTTGCAATCTATGTGATTGAATCACCTCACCAATTCTTACAATTACAAATAAATGGTATCACATTGTATCAAGCATCAGATCAAAAACACACACATACACACAAAGCATTATAGCTCTATCATTTTTGTATTACTAATTATTTATAAAATTTGACTAATATTAATTTTTAAAACATAAATTCTAACATCAAACCTTCATGAAGGAAAAAAAGTAAGAATAATCTTATTTAGCTGTTTGGTAACAGTTTACTTTGTGCTAATATATGTGTTACAAGCTTCAATAAACAGGCTCCTAAGCTTGTAGCTGAATTGGTATCTAATGTATGTTTCCCAACTTTTAAGTGCTGGACTCAAATCCCTCTCCTCATTAAAAAAAGTTCAAAAAGGTAAAGAAAAGAAAACAGTCCCCAACTTGTGAGAATCACTAATGCATACGGAATAAACATTATGCACACCGCATACAAATGCAAAAATGTAATATTTAAGATCCTTTCATCAGAATACATAACAATATTTAAATTACAGAAAGTTTTGCCACAATATCAGTTGTAGAAATTAAAATAAAGAATCTAAATATGAGACAAACACTGCAAAATGAAAATGTGTTCTTCACCCTTCAATAGAAAATTATAATGTAAAACATTTATTTATTTTTTTTCCAGGTATATGCTTAATATGGCAAAAGATAAAATTGGCAGCCCTCTTTTCAGTTTACTGTTTTGAGTTAATTTATCATGTCATTATATCTTAGCAGTGCATTTTTAGGCTTGCTAATTAAAATTTTAAAGGCTATGTCTAGTACTTATGGAAAGGAGCCAGCACTTGCTAGCAGTATATTCTCCATATCTGCTAAGACACATACCAAGACAAACACAAAGCCAACTGATGAACACATGATCATTTGGGTTAACAGAATAGAAGAATAACCATGCAGAAGGATATGGGTTCATATGCTAAAATAGATTAAAGATGCAGTAGAATGAATGGTAACCATAGGCGAGATATGTCTCTGCAGATATCCAAGCATGCCTGCCTAAATGCAAGTATGCTTCCAAGTTGCATCTTTGCACATTTGGAGATGAGCAGAAATACTATAAGGGATCAAGGCAGGGGCTGCAAGAAATATAGTGATTATTTGGTAACTAGTAAATTATCATTAACCATCTTGATGAAGACAACGTACAATTTTTGGTTCAGACCTTGTCATGAGGGCTTGTGGACCCCTTACAAAGAAACTATCAGAGTCACTGTCTCTAGGACTGGATTTCACATAAACAACATCCTTTGATCTCCCCATTCTATGGATTCCAGAAAAATGATCACCCCAAATATCATATGTATATTCATTCTTTAAATTTTTCTTTCCTTCTACTTTATCCTGATTGCAGAGGTTGGACCCAGGAGCTCGTGCATGGGGAGCAATGGTTGATGTTAAAACCAAAGGAGAGGAGCAAAATACTTTAGGAGTAACCCTACCAGCACAAGGAAAAGTGGCAGAAGGCAACAGAACAGGTTTTGTAACATTCTTCCTTGGTGCTGAAGACTGCTCTTGAGTGGAAAAATAACAGTTCTTACCAACATCCTCCAGAGAAACCTTGGACTCTGACAAGTTTGCCTTAGAAGGAGGCTCAGCTGCTTGAACCTTCTTATAGGTCTGGTCAGCCAATTGTGTAAATGGGTTTCTAACCTCAATAGATTGGTCCGCATTAGGAGCAAACAACCATGTACGACCAGGCGTTATAGAAGTGAGAGGTGAAAAGGGAGATGAAGGGGTAGAATTTCCACTTTGACTACTTGAAACTTCAACTAAACCTGTTAGTCCTGCAGCCACACCCTTGGTCTTCCTTCGCCTTCTTCCCTTCTCCTTTCCTGTCCTGATAGTGAGATGACCATGCTGAGACACTTCCAATGTATCAGAATCTTCAGCTGCAAGAGATTTTGGGAACAAAGATGGCAATGGATTTTCCTTTTCAGTATCCAACAAACTGTTAATTTGTCTGTCATTTTCTTCAGTTGGTTTTCCATGTGGAGCAGTTGGCCCCAGTTCCAAGGCCCCAACATCACCATTAGGATATCCACTATTAGATGTCTTCTTCAACAATTTATCCTCCCCACCTGAACTTAACAAACCAATCATATCGGTGGATACAGAAGACTTATTGTTTCTCTGACTTCGATTCGTACGAGAAGATTTTGCTCCACTTCTAATTGTGGTAACGTGACTTTTCTCACTCTTATAGAAGCAATCTTGATGGCAAAAGATGCGACAGAATGGAAGAAACAATAAGGAACCACAAAGAAAAGCAGCAATAGATAGCTTCTTCAGATGCATCCAGAACATTGATTTCTTACAAATATTAAGCATATAAACAGGGAGGCTTGCCTTCATTGGTATGGCAAGAATTCCAGTAGCGCAGGCCAGTTCAAGATCCCTACATAATGTAGCTGCGAAAAAATTGGCCTGGTATGAAATCAGAAGCTTTGTTGACTCACCAGGTTCAAGAGAAAAACCTTTACAATTATGCACCATAAAACCATCCAATCCACACTCTGACCCAGAAACTCCAATGCTTCTAACCCTAAGTGGTAACTCTCCAGTGTTCTTGGCATACAGCACTTTTAGAAATGGCTGAGAACAGGCTTTAGTGTTCTCTTCTGTCTGTAAAAACATGTCTGGAAGAGAGATGTTTAGAGGAATTGGCACATTGAGGTTAAAGTCTATACTCCAGATAGGCTCAGGACCCTCAAGCAGGATTAAAGAAAAAGACCCTCCAAATCCCCTCAAAGATATCCACTCAACACCAGAAAGATTGTTCCTTATCAGAGCTGAGCTTCTCCATCCACATCGATCAGAAGGGTGAAACAATATTGGCCCAAATAATGCTCTACCAAGAGGATTAACATAGGCTTCTGTGACTGCACTCTCTGCCAAGGAGAACCCAGATGCCACTGCTTTAGCAGAAACAGTATAAACAGAACCACCAGATGACAGTGGGTTTATAGAGCCATCTTTCCCCTGGCACTCATCAATAATTTCTCCTGCATTAAGAATAAGCTGCATGATAACAGGCTGCTTGCTAGGATTTCTTACAGTGATCCACTTAGAGAAGTGAGTTCCAACTTGGACCACTGGAAACAGTACTTCATTATCATCAAGCACTGACATACCACTTGTGCTAGCTTGAGATTTCCAATTTTCCAAAAACAATTCATCAGCTTCTGTTGTTCCCAGTCCCTACGAAAAGTATAAAGGAAGCTTCTTAGACTCTTCGTTATACTGAGCATGAATTTGTGTTTAATCAAGAAAATCATGGGACTGAGGTTTGATAATTTTAGTTAGATTGTAATGCATTATCCTGTGGCTAAAATGACAACATGAGTATAAACACGCAAAAACAGGAGAAGGAGGGAAGAGAGATAACTTTAGAAATTTCACCTAATGCCACATTGAATCCAATCCAATCATAGCACAATGAGGAAATAGCAGGATAGAGTCAAATCCAACTCAAAAAGGAAAATTTTCCTGGAGATAGATGCACAAGTAATATAGATGAAAAGAAGAAGCAACTCCAAAACAACAAAAGACCAAGAAAATGTTAAACATCAAGAAAGGAAGATTTACAAGGATAAGAACTAAGAATTCTCACTAATTTGGTACACTGAGATTGTCATATAATCCTTCAGAATAGTGATGTTTATGTATATGTTAAGGATAATACTGCTTGATTGAGGTGGCTGCAGACTACCATCAAGTTTCCAAATCTTCATATCAACAGATCACTCTATCTCTTCCAATCACTAAAGTAGGAAACATGACAAGCTTATGTAACCTACAGACATGACCCAGTTGCTGAACCAACTCAGTTGGAAAGAAACATATTCTGAATGTCTTAGATATTGAACCCAACAGCTACATGTTTCCTTGTAAGAGTAAGAAAACTTATTCCTCCCCTTTGTTACTCGGAACGAAAGGGTTGGGGCCCAAGGGGGACTGTTTCAAACAATTGGAGCTACAGCTAGATGTTTCCTTGTAAGAGTAAGAAAACTTGTTCCTCCCCTTTGTTACTTGGAAAGAAAGGGTTGGGGCCCAAGGGGGTTTGTTTCAAAAAATTGGTGTTACACTGTTACAGTTAGACACAACTGCCTCATACAGCATCATTAGCAGTAACATAACCCTATCAGACAAGCAGTGAAAATAGGACCTTACCAATTTGATGATTCAGTAAAAGAACAGGCATCAAGATGTAATCAAAATAATATAAAATACAGACAACAAACGTAACCGAACATTGGTCAAAACATGTCATCTAAGTAGTTTAAATCAGCATACCTTGAACCATGATGCCAATTGCAGGTCAACATCCAAGGAACCTGTCTTCATATTGCCAGATTCAACCTTTTCAGACTGATGCTCATAACCAACTTTTCTGCATTTCTCACAAATGTGAATTACATTCTCACAAGGAACTTCTATCGGAAGACCAATCGAGTCATTAGTCAGTACAAGCAATTTACAATTCCTGATGATATTAGAAAATTCAGGAGAATCATGCATTTCAACTGGCAGATGAGCACAAGTAATCATGGCAACCTGTGTAATAGCATTGGGAAATAACAGCAATCCTTCCAAGTACTTGATATGGAGAAGTCTAGTGTCTGCAAGTTCAGTAATCTTAACAATACTCAACATGTAAGGAGCATCATTTCTCAAAGAGATGGTCACAATACCAGTTTCACTGTCATATGGCAACACAGCCTCGAGAGAAACTGAAACAAGACCTGCATTATCATTGGATGATTTTCGCTCCAAATCTACCTCAACAGGAACCATAACTGTATCAGCCTTATCTTGTGTAGATCTTAATAACTGCAAACAAAAAGCACCAGAAATTTTTCCTTGGGAGCGAAAGGATAAATCTAACTCTATGAGTGTCTCAATACTGTAGGGATTAACTTCCCAGCTTCTATGGGGCCTCATAGCCATGAGAGGAATACCAAATGGAGCCCCCTCCAAAACCAACCAGTCCTCAGAACTGAGCAAGCTGTACTCATTATAACCTGGAAAGTTTTCAATGGTACATACTGCTTGAGTGTGGTGGGTAGTATTCCCAAGAGAAACTGATAGATATGCAGTAATTTCTTTCACATATAGGGTTTCATTGAGAGGGTTAAACAAAGATAAATTTTTTGATACTCGAGAAGGAACATTCAAGCTTACTACTGGCTTAATACCATATGGAGACTCAACAGCAAACCCCCTTGCCCGAACCAGGAAACCACCAGAGCTTGTCTGCAAAATCAGGTGAGCTGATGACAAGCCCAGCCATCTAGGTAAATAGAAAAAACAAATTGATGCTGCTTCACCAGGCCCTAACAAAGTCTCACTAAAATTGCACGGATAGAACTGTATGTTGGTACTGAATGGTTCATAGACATGTAAAATGCTTTCATTGCATGTATTAGCCACAGTCAAGTATGCTACTGAAGGAATAAACATTGACTTTTCTCCCCAATCCATAACAGGTGGGCTTATTTCTACATTCGGCAAAGAAGCAATTCCAAAAGAACCCAATTGAGTCACCTCTTTGTATGTGTTCCTAACACTTCCGCTCTTCTGATTTAGTAATGGTCCTCTACACAGAGAATGGCCATTTTGGTCAGTACCATCAGTTTGAATGGATGAAAAATCACGAACCCCATCTCGGAAATTTAGAGAACAAGAAATTATCCTGCCATTTAATAACTTAAACATAGCCTGGTATGAAGACCAACTTTTGTTAGCTTCCTTCCCCCAAGACTCAGTTGATTCTAAATAAGATGGTTTATCCAAGTGGCTTCTAACAACTTCTAAAGCAGCTTTTTTAAGTTTATGATGTTCAGGCAGAAGACCAGGCAAAGTTGAAGGAAAGCAGAATGAATGAGAATTAGTGCAGACACCCTCAATGCTCATCTGAGTCCTTGGAGATCTAGCAATGTAGCCTGAACTGGTATCGCCAACAACAATTTCTTGAAAACCCATCTGATGATAATCTCCATAAAAATCACATCCATCATATTCTGCAGATATCAGCATCCCATTCATGGAGCATTGTTCACAGGTAGTGAGACAAAAGTAGGTACACAACAGAACCACCAAAAAATGGAATGCCCTGGCTTGTTGAAACAATCCCCTGAAGAAACCATCACAACAAAGAAGCACATGTTATAATGATGAACGCAAACAAATAAGCTTGCAACCAAGTAAGCAAGTAGTAATTAAGAACATCCTCACAAGCAATTAATGAAATCAAATAAAAATGGAAACAACTTGAGCTGTGTAAGGCATCAAAACAAGAAATTTTGTAACCAAGCAGTTTAATTTATAACTCCTACATATGACAGTTCAAATTCGACCTTTTTATTCTACAATGAATACCCAAAATCTAACGAATCTTTAAATTTCTATTTCTCGGAATCCAAACAGAAACAACCAAGTTGTTGCAAATAAACAACTAAATTAAACGACTCTAAGTTCAGTTCTTTCTTCTTTTAACTTTTTAACCCATTTTACAACAATTTAAAAACGTATGAAAAAACAGTGAAACAGCCAATTTAGCTCCTAACCAGCTAACTCCCTCATCCCACAAGTTTGGAGAGGTTTCACAAGCACTGATAGCAGCTAACCCCATGAAAATAGAAAAGGGTAGGATTTCCCAACAGGCATGTTTGATATTATTTTTAAACCATTTAACAAAAATAAGTTTGGAGCATAAGGAGTCCCGATCACTCCAAAATCGATAAAAAGATGCTGTTTTTAACCAAACAAGTCGAAAATGAAAACAGGAACATAGTTATCAACTTTCTAGAAATAGAGCATAGAGCATAATAACTGATGAAGATGAAAAAAAAAAAAAAGAGAAACCGCGGAGCTACTGAAACCAGAATTTGATTCTAGAAGCATGATTTGGTTTCCAGAAGACTGAGAGAGTGAAAGAGTTACCGGAAGTAGAACATGGGAAGCTGCTGGGGAGCTGCGATCGTTAGGATTCTGGACTCCATATTCAAGGGGAGAAAGGAACCATCTGATTCTTTTTTCAGATAAATCTTTAGGGATTTCCCTAGTTTCTGGGGTACACCAAAATCTACGCTTACAACACAAGCACACCTGACAACACAAGAAGAAGGAAAACACAGCCAGACGGGAAAAAGAAAGAAAAATGAAAGAACGAATGAGTCAATTTACCAAATTGTCCCTCTTAGTCCAAAGAGCGACTTATGGTAGGGGGACATTAAATCATCTGAGGCCTGTTTGGTTGTCACATATCCCTAGGAAAACAATCTAGGGAGGCTGAACCTTATAGATTATCGATTTGGCTCAGAATTTTGATATTCATTGCATAAAAATTTAAACTAACTTTCAAACATGTGCTTTTGAAATATATGTCAAATTTTATTATATAAAATATTTTTAATTAATTTTATATAATTTTTTATATTAATTTTAATTAATATAAAATATAAAATGTAAATTTGAAATAAAATAAAATATTTATATTTAAAATCTATAAAAAAAATATAAATTTGATATAAAACTTTGTATAAAATTAATTATAAATTCTGTAATTAATAAAGTTTAACTTGTGTTTTTAAGGTATAAATTAGATAAACTTAAATTTATATTAAAAAAGTAATCAATTATGAAGTAATTTAATTGGTTATTATAGGATTTACAACTATTATTCTTTGCTATAATTAATTAGATTCATATAATCAATTTTTTTTTTTAAAGTGACCAATTAGTTTTTCTTTAAATGTTTTTTTGTGTGCATATTTTGTTGAGAAACACAATCGGATACATAGAATTAATTATATCTTATATAAACAATTATATTCTTTTGATCCTATGTTCTTTCCTTCCTTGACCAAGTCATAGCTTGATTTTTACCTGCTTTCGTAAAGGCAAGAGGCACTATTTGCACCCTATATATGTATATTTAGTCAACACTTTAAATTAATTTTTATTTTCACAAACAATTTTTATTATTTAAATCTTGTAAAAAATTTAAAAATTAATTGTTAAACTCTTTATTTACATTTCAAATTTATGGTCAAACCTCTTAATTGTACCATAATTTTGTGGGTAATTTGGAGTTTTTTATGGGTTTTAAATTATAAAAAATATTGACCAAAATAAAAATTAATTTAGAGTGTTAACCGTAAAAATAAAAAATATATAAAGGGTAAACAAAAGATTTGGCCTTCTGTAAATTGTTTTTCTGAGATTTAAGGCAACCAAACATGTCCTAAATCAAATTAGAAAATTTTTTTTATTTATCTCTTATTATAACTAATTAAATAAGTATTTTAATCATAGTAATACTGTAATAGTATATATTGTAATTTAAAAAAAAAAGTAAAATAAAAATAATTACATTAAATAACATTTTAAAAACAAAAGTAGACAATTAAATTTAAACCTTTTAAATTAAAATTGGATTTTCCTAAGATCATGTTTGGTTTGAAATTTTGACCAATAATATTTGATTTATTAAAAATCTCTCCCTTTAATCCAAATATATTATAAGTTGTTCCTTTAGAGAGTGCAATTATTATACTTTTTTTATAGTAACTAATAGAATTAAAGAATAAAAAATAATTTTTATTTAAATAACTATTTAATTAAAATAATTTATATAATACTAATGGTAAAATTAATAATAATTTTATATATTTTTAATATCAATTAATATTTAAAAAATACAATAATTACATCTGCATTCTAATGCATAGGTTTAAAAAAAAAAAAAACCTCATTAAAATTTGGTAGGAAGAGTATTAATTAATACACATATTCAAAATTTCCACCTTGATAAATCACTTTATTCATAAATGCCAGCAAATCTCTACTTAATTGTAAATTTGTAATGGGTATAACACAGCACTCACAGCACTTTGTTTAGTATAATAATTGATGGATTTAACTTACATATTTAACATAATTTTATCACCTAAGTCAATATTTCGATTTTTAGAAACCTTTTTTAAATATAGAAATTTTCGAACATATTGAACTATAATTTACGAAGGTGGAGAACCACTATAACTAACAAAGCTATGATTGTAATTTATCCAAAGTTCAAAAGAAAGGAAATACTAACACAATGTTTATGGATCAAACGGTAATTATATATGCAGATAAAAATAGCTGGTCTAAAACACATAAGGGAAAGTTCGAAGACTTTTTGGGTATATGTTGGTGTTTTTTTTTATTTGAGTAGCCTACGATTTAGGGAAGGTGAATTTTTTTTTAAATATTGGTGAGAGTCAAAACTAGTTTAATAAACACAAATATTTTAAAATTTAAGAATGAACTACGGCATCGAAAGATCAGTTTAGGTATATGTTGGTTTTGCTTAATTTCTTCCATGTGTGTTCTAATGGTTAATTAAAGAAAAAAAGGAAAACAAAAGAAAAGATTGCTTTGGCCTTTGTGCATTGTGACGCTGACAGTCTGCGCGTACGCATTTAGTAATCGAATTTTTCTAACTTTTTTTTGGGGTTAGGTTAAAGATTAATGATGTAATTAATATTTTTTATTTTAAAAGTAGTAAAATTTAATATTAATATAATATAGCATTGTATATTATTTTAATTAAATACTTAATTAAATTAAAATTATTTTTTATTATTAATTAATCTAATATATAAGACACATAATAAACAAAATCTTTTATAATAGGTAGTGATATAAAAAATAAAAATTTAAAATTAATGATACAATACAAGTTAAATTATTAAA